AATTATTGTTTTATTATGGTTAAAAAAGCAGGATTTTCAAGGTTGTTCAGTATTTCGTCCAATATCATGGTCAGAGCAAGTGCTGGATATTTAATACTGTTTCTGCAGAAACAGTAGCACTGAAAAGGTACAAAGAAGGTTAGCAAGAATGATCAGAGCTAAGGTTAAACAGATCAGGGTTTTTTCAGGTTGGTAGAAAGGAAAACTGAGAGGAATATAAAATTCCAATGCCTGTAAATCTTGAAGATATGTAAAGAAAGTAAACGAATCATATTTTACAATTTAAGAACTGAAGAGCATCCAATACAATTACCATTTAAGTGGTTTCATTTAAATTGAACTACATGTTCACACAAAATATAAATTGTAAAAGAGATTGTTATGGGGCTCGAGTATCAATTCTAGAAAGGATTAGTCAAATTAATGAGTGTTTGGTCTGGCTTTAGTAAGCATACAATGTTTGCCTTTATACATTTGTCTTTAATCCATTGATATCTTGAAACTACCTGTCTATGCGGAGAGCACTCATCCTGTTCACAGTCTGTTCTTATTCTCTTTCCTAGCTGTTGATGGAGATAAAGTAACAGGGAAGATGAACTGGTGGTGTGACGTAATACGGCTGTTCCTGAGTTCATGTTTTTAATATGCCATGAAATAGACAGAATAGTGAAGAAGTCAGTGGTCATATAAAGTATCTGCATGGATAATTGCTATAGCAAAGTTTTTATCACAGATTCTTTCTTCATGGTGGGATAATTTTTACAGATCTGTTGAAAGTTGCTAAAGACTGTGTGTGAGGAAAAAGGGAGAGGGAGGAGGAAATGCTATCAAAGTAGACCTCCGAGGTGCTGTGAATTGTCCCTCTTTATTGATCATATAGCGATCTGAATCCAGATTCTCTGAATCAAACTAAAAGGAGATGCCTAAAGTAACTTAATATAATTAGTGTAAATATTCCCCCAACAGCGCTTCGGATGTCTCAAGCACTACTAGCCAGGGCCATCGTTTCCTATGTTTTCAGGGCAAGTTACCTTCTGTGTCAATGCTGCTTCCAAGAAACAAGATCAATGTAGGTTTTTCCTTTATATCAAGGATATGTAACTCTTCTTTTAATCTTTCCTCATCACTTCTACAAAGCAACATGAAAACAGTCCTGTGAAATTTGCTGCCAGACAAGCACACACAGTGCTGACATTAAGAATAGCCATTCCCTTAATACGGAAACTAGATGTCTGCTTTTAGTCAAATAGATTGTGTAGGCTTTGACATCAATTGTCTTGCAGAATCAGTGTCTGAAGGCACAAATAGTTAAGTGTGGTGTCTAGTTTAGGTTGTTGTGAGCAAACACCTGCTGTCAATCCTGAGAAAAATAACACCTACTGCTAAGGGGTTCTAACAATGGCCAGTGGTGCCAGACAAATTTACCAAAATATCATACCCCAATATAAAAGAAAAGCAGTTTGAATTATGTCCATGAGCCTTTGGTTCAAAGCTCTGGGCAATAAAAAAAATACTTTATAAAGTGTAGTCTTCTTCCCCCTACCCTGCCCCTCTCCCCTGAATGACACTTTTCTATTGATGGCAAAAGCACACATATGAAAAATAGGTTGAACAGGGAAAGAGTGTATTTTCAGTAAAAACCTGTACCATAAATAAAACTGATTATCAAACAAACTACAATAATCCACTACATAACAAAGAAACATGACATTTTGCCAAATAATTTCATCTGACAACTCCATTGAAGCTGAAATTATTTTAAGTGTTTGAAAGAAGTTCTTGCATGAATTTATTAGAGAAAATTAGCATTTAAACGCAAGATATCCACCAAAGTCAGAATATATAGATAGAGCCATAAAAACGAGTGATTATCCAAAGCCAAGCTGCTGTTTTCATTTTAACAATCTCACAGTCCACTGCATATGTGCAAATCCTGCTCTGGAGTTCAGTGTGTGAGCAGAGAGATTGCTGGCTTCAAGATCAGTTTTTATGTGATTTTTCCAGGAAAAAGAAACAACACTGCTGAGCCACAGTAGTTTGCAGATTAAAGTCCAGCTCCTCATGCACAGCAGACCAATGCCAGGCGCATTGAAGACAGAGTGGCATAGTTAGCTGTCTGCCATTTTGCAGCTTTTGGCTCTAGAGGCTTCCAGCCTTTTAAAGTAAAATAGCCTTAGCACTTGAGCAAACAGGCTCTTTAGGGAACTATTTGGCTGATGATCCTCAGAGCTTAACACCTCTTTATTATTTACCTCTTTCCTCCTGCCAGTCTTATTCTCTTCTTTACAGTTTCTTCAATGCAAAGCTATTTACCTTTATGTGATGTAGAGTTTGTTTTGTTCTGAGTTCATTATCGCTCTGAATATTGCCTTTAGGAGTAACACAACTGTTATATCTGCTTTAGTTTGCCTAAAAATATATAATATTTGCCTTATTAGCATTGCTGATGTCCGTTCAGAAACAGCTGTGTAAAGTGCTTTGCTGCTTCTTACCAGAGCTCACTAAATTCATTTTGAAGCTTTTATGGCATATTTCAGAGAGGAAGACCAGATGAAAATATAAGGAACCTACCCCCCTGTGCTAAATAACAGCTGAAAGCTTTTGTTTGCAAAATATATATTTAGCCAATCCTAACGAGCATGGGATATATAGTTTTAATGTAACTATGAGACTTAGCGGCCAAAAAAAAAGCGGGCTGCAGGGGAGAACAGGGCATGAGTGTGTCAAAAACTTTCCCTCCCCTTTGTGCCCCTGCCAACAGGCAAACTGTGCAGCACTGGTTCTGAGGCAGAAGCACTATTCTTCTCAAAGTCTGCAAGAAAAAAGGACAAGCTGGACAAGCCGGACAAGTCAACATGCCTAGCAAGGGTACAGTGCAACACTCATGCCTCGTTTGTGGCAAAAGCAACTGATGCAACGTGCAAACCTTTGCTCCAGTGGAAATGTGATGGTATTAATAAATGGGAATTAGAAAGACAGGATCTGGTCCTAAGTAAATATTGTTGCCTCACCTATTTGTTTTCCAACCCAAAGGAACACAGATTTCAAAGCTGTGTTGTTAGGGCATAATCTGCAAGATCCTCTGAGGCACTTTCTGTACCAGCTCCTATGCTCTCCATTCCAAACAAAAGATATTACAAATAAAAAATATTTATTTTGTTTATGGCTTTCCCACAGACTATTTTTAAATAATGACTTTTGAAGAACTGTACTGGCCATGTTTCAACTGCTCACAAGTTAAAGCCATGAGGAGTCTTGTTTTAAACTCTTTACTTCTCAGCAAGGAGGTAAGAATGCTTGGGCAAGTTTTGTTTTTAGCTGCCCAAGAGAAGAAGAGAACATGAATTGTGCTGCCACCTCTTATACTACTTTGCAGCGTCTAATAGTGCATGGGTCATGTAAGCACAGTCATTCCAATATTGTACTTCCAGTTCATGTTTAGATACAGGGAAGAATGGAGCGTATCTGCATGTTTGAGTCTAGCTCCTGAAGACAAGCAGAAGGCAGGTAGGCTATTTTCACTAGTTTCAGAGGCAGCAAGTACCATCTTTTATCACACAAGAAACAGATGACAGATGTGGTGAGAAAACATTTTGCACCGGGTTGATTCATGTTTTCCTGCTCCTCTTTTCCCTCCTTTATGGAAGGCAGGAGCTACGTCTCTGGGAAACTGTAGCTAGCACAGCCTGGGCAATGACCCTCCAGTATGGCAATGTGTTACATATGATATCTTAACACGTAACAGATTGTATTTCTGAGTGGAAACCTAAAACTACTTAGAAGTGACCCTACATCTCAGAAGTGTGAGGACATGAGGCTTGCAGTAAGCCTGGACATTGGGAAAGCATACAAGATGTTTTGTCACAAAAAGAGATATCAGATACCTTTGCCTCAAAGGTATTCCCAGAGCTCATCTCGCGTTGCTGGAGGGAACAACTTGTAACTATTTTTCCCATGGGTTGGTAATGTAGAACATTTGCACATGTGTTTATGAGACCTAGTATTGAAAAGGCTTCTGACTTCAGAATCCATAGAATTTGACAGCTGGGACAAGGATTCTTTCGTCTAAAATGTTAATGAAGTTTTGGCTGCTGTTGGTATATTTTGATAAAAAGAGATTTGAACATGAATTTGGAAGGAGATAGTGATAATAAGAACATAATCAGTGACTGATGGCATGCAATGGTAAGACAATGTAATAAACATCTTGAAGGTCCCACAGGGTAGTAAATACAGTGATAAGGATAGTAATCCAAAACATTGACAGTATTTTATTTTATTTTATTTTTTTACTTATGGAGCAGGAGATGGAAACATAGTCACATTCTGCACAACTTCAAGAATTTTGGAGACAAGTAATTGCTAGATATAAGTTAATATTGAAGTTGGCCTTTCCAATGGACTCCAAAGTTTTTATACAGGAGATATCATAAGTCTGTCAAAGGCTACAGGGCACAAGAAAATATTTTGTTAAGGGCAATTTAGTGTCTAGAAGATTAATACTTCAGAAATAAAAACCATCTGTATCACTGAATACTGTTGAGTTGTAAATTTATTTGACAGACCTGGGTAATCTGCTTTCAATGTATCTTTATTCAGCTTTTAGGATTGTTATGCCTATATTTTCAGAGTTGCAATTTCATCCTAGTTATTTATGTGTATTATTTCATATTTACTTAAGGTACAATGTGTGGTCATTTTCAGCCAAATAATATCCTTCAACAGCACTGTATCATGTAATCTTTGGTAAACAAGGATTATATTGTCAAAACTTTACTGACATTAATGCTTTGTATTTATTGTAATTACAGTAACTTTTTTAATAGTTAGCATTATGGCTGGTAGATCTGTGGCATTTCATTTCATAGCAGTGCTCTCACTGTCTTAAAAGGATCTTTGGTTTCAGTCTGCCTCTTTAACAGGTCACCGATTCCAGGCATCATTTACCTATGTGATATTGTTTCATTTCTTTGTAACTACATTAGTTCTTAGTAGCACAGTAGCATTAATTGAGACTCATTTTATTAGAGGTTGTACAAATCAAGAGCAAAATCCCAATGTCTACTCAAAACATCTTAATAACTTAACTATCGAAGAACTCAGTCTTGATTTGGAAATGATGGAATATCCCACCATGCTTCAGATGAAGACAGAAATGCCAGGAGGAAAATCCCATATAGGTCAAACTTCACACTTCTGGCAAAGAATCTTCCTGTTAGTTTTTCTGGTTGGACTAAAAAAATAATTTGTTGGACACGGGTATTGTCTGGATTCTGTCATTGCCATTGTTTTTGCTGCTTGAAATTTTTCTGGTCTGGAACCCAGTGTCTGTTGTCTTGTACAGTGGAAAAAAGAGAGAAAAAGGGTCTCAGACTCTGGATTTCAAATAAATTGATCTGGAGAAGCTTGTTTTGGAAAGCTGAAAATATGCTGGTACACACTGCTTCTGAGGCCTATTCATATATCATATACACAGGAGAAGACAAGCTTGAGTAACCTGTAAATTAACATAATACCTTGGTATATGCAAGCCACTAACCAACACAGTTGTCTCACTGTCCAGCATATTTTTGGATGCTTGACATATCTCATGTTTTTATTAGTTTCTTTACTTTTGGAAGAAATTGGCTTTCAGTTTGCTTAAAAGCCAAGATTTAGCTGAACATTACATCAGATGCTTTCCAAACACTGGGAAATTGCCAATGCATATGGACATATTAAACTGCACAGACAGAATAAGACATATAATGTCTACAGAGAAAGTAAGTTCAAATGTTAGTAATTTTATTTCACATTTTATTCTTCTCATTAAACAAAACTTATATATGCCACATGTCTGAAGAGCAGGGATTTAAAGTAGGGCTGTCTGGATCTCATACTTCCTTCTAATACGTGTGGTTGGTTTACAATATTCTCTGCTGTCTTTACGTCTGCCACTGAAAGTTGATGTATGCCATAACCAGTCATCTTAATATCTACTGTGTGATTTAGAGAGATGGTAGTATGCCCGTTTTACAACTGGAGCATTGAGACACAGAACTGATCAATGACAATTATTTAAGCCAGAAAGTCAAAGAAATCCATATAGAAATGGTATCTGTATACAAATTCTGGAGGTCTGCCTGATGGGAAAGATGGGTTTAATTTTGAAGTGGGAGGAAAGGGAACAAACTAACTAAAGGTCTTCTGGGGCATGTTTGTGGTGGTGTTGTCTTGACTTTAGGGTGTGGTACAATATTTCTGGCTCCCTTTCTGATTTTTAACAAGCAGGCAGACTGCCCATAGCATACAGTAATATCAAAATGTACATCATACTACAAGGATGTGCATCACAACAGTACCTTGGCAGGCCTATTTCTATAGTGTGAAGACAATTAACATGATTTACTTTCACAACGGAATTCAGAAGCTCCAATGATACCCAACTGCAGTATATCCTTTCCCAGTGCTGACATCGGTAATACACTACAACTGTCATGTTGTGTTTACTCCAGAAAATAGGTGGGGTAGCTTCTTATAGCAGTTATTCACTGTAGATTAGAGTGAGCACTGATCCATAGCATGATGTAGCTTAGTCAGAGCCATAGTGGAACTATAAGCTAATTGATATCTGATAACCATATATGATAACCATATCATTAGTATGCCTTTGGCACTTGTTTGTGTTGTAAATTACAATCTTATCTTTCCAACCACTCTCAGAATAAATGAAAAAAAAGAAGTAATAACAAAAGTAAAGACTCAGAACCTGCATTAAGCAACTGTTGTCCAGGAAGCTAATGTAAGAGTTGAATTACAAGACCTACTCTAATGTCTTTTCCCCTATCCTGTCCCACTGGTATGCATTTATGGGGTTTTCATTGCTGTTGCTAAGGAAAAAGAGATCATGTAGGCAAGCTTGAATAAAGTTGGAGAAATCTGAGTTGTATTAATTTTCTGAAGAGAAGGATCCTCCACTCTGTCAGGAATTGTCCTTTTTAGACACTAAAAATACCAGCTAAAGTTAAGGGACAGCTTGCTTAGTTATAAAGAGGAATAACTTTCTGCAGAAATGCCTCTAACTGTTGTATGTTCCTGTTCATTCGTAACGTGACTGTCAGGAGCCAGTCAAAGATTTAAGTTGTAGCTGCAATTGAAAATATACTGATGGTACTTTTGTTTTATTTATTAATACTTCAATTAGAGCTAACACAGGGAAAGAGCCACTGGACAGACTCTACCCAAGAATGTAGGCAGACCCTGCTTAAAGGATTAGAAGGATACTCAGAAATTTAACAGAAATTACCACAAATGGATTTCAGTGTTATACAGAGCTACAGGCACAGCATAAAGGGTGACAGTAAAAGGTAAGTTTTCCAGTGTAAAATAGTCTTGGAGGATATTTACAAAGATTTACTTCTGTCAAGTGAGACTTTTACTCTGTAGTCTGTGACAAGAAAGGAGCTATGTTAGTCTCAATCTAAGTCACCCTTTACATAAATGTTCTTCTCTTTACTCACTACAGAAGGAGCCTGCTTGGACTACAATCTCTCCAACAGTGGGCCTTTATTTGCTACAGTGTGCTATGCACCCTTTTTTCAGCATCCTGTGCTGAAAAAGTGTGCTATGCATCCTTTTTCAGCATCCTATGCTCAATTCCAGCTTATTTTTTTCCTCCAATTTTTCAAAATGTCAAATGATTTTATGGAGACAAAAAGACAGTTTTCAGTCCTTGACGCACATGAATATTTCATTCCAAATCGGTTGTCATTGCTGATTTCCCATTGCAGTTTGTTACTGAGTTACACTGGTAGCCTAAAGAATTTTTGACTCCCTTTCTCTTTTCATTGGATGAGTTATGGTTGGCCATAGATACCGCTGAATTTTCAATTGTCTGCATTGCTGCCTGAAACAGTAATAATATAAACTCAATATACTCTGAATAGCTCAACTGTTTGGACTAAGATTTATGTAGAGGAACAGATATGCATGATTGTATTACCATTTTTGTGGTTTACATAAATCTTTTATACTTTAACATTCATAACTGTTACTGATCTGTTTGTATAAACATGTTTCTTATTAGTTACTCTTAAAATACTTTGTTGAAACAAAGGAAAGGAAAATGATGATCCTTCACAGAGGGAAAGAATAGCATGATTCAGGGGTAAACAGCTTAGCTCTTTTCATATTCCTTTTCGCTACTGCAAAGACGATTGCATGACAGAACTCATCAGAGTACATGTAGTCACCTTCATTAAGTGTTTGAAAATCATGTAGATGAGGACCTCAGTGATATGGTTTAGTGGTGGTCTTGGCAGTGCTGGGGTAATGGTTGGACCTGATGATCTTACAGGTCTTTTCCAACCTAGTTGATTCTATGGTACTATTAGAGGTCATGAAAAGAACTCACTTTTTGTAATTCTTGGGTACTACTGTCACTTGGGTACTATTGTCACTAGATTGTCCCTTCAATCTTTCAGCTATGAAGAACGATATGTATCAATATGGATCTTGAATAAGCCACTGACATAAAGGATGGAGTGCATAACACAGAAAATACTTTCCAGTAAAAATTTTACTGTACTGCAGGTAACAGTGCTGAAAGATATTAACAGCATTAAGTCTGCCAAAAATTAGAAAACTGTGAATTTATGTGAAAAAATTACCAAGCTTTCTCTCTATGGAAGAATACTGTTTGTTCATGCTGCTCTTTTTTTAGGTAACCAGGGCTTCTGTAAAGATGCATCTCAGTTTATTTCTGCAAGAGAAGTATGAATGCTACATATATTGGCACATCCTTACCACGTGAACTCATATGCTGCATTTTCACAAGGTTTTATCTTGGCAGATCTCTAAAAGCAGTTAAAGCAGTAATCTATGATCAATGGTAGGCAGATGGAATGAAGGAAGTCTGTTTGAAAATAAGAAAATTGAGATACATTAATCAGGTTGCACAGGAAGCCTGTGTCAAGACTAACAGCATGTGCTTTTAGCTCATTATTGGACAAACCTATATGACTGAGTCAGCTGCAATGTGATAGTAGGAATTATACAGAGATGAGTCTGGTACTATAATATGTGAGTAGAGGCATACATGCACCATTCAGTCCTACAAAGAGGAGAGAGATGTTTACAGCTCTGGTTATTGTAAAGATCGTAACCCAAGTGCTAGCAAGTACACTTCTTTGAAGTAATATAATAAGATAACATATAATACTATAATTAATATAATATAATATAATATAATATAATATAAAACTATATAACTCATGGAGACAGAGCTTGAAACTAGTAGAGGGAGAGTATTACAGAGATTTTCAGATACCAGAGTCAGAGGATGATTAACAGGGACCACTGTGCCTTGATGTCACTGTGAAGTACCGTATGTTTTGGGAGCAGAACTGAAATCCCACCAAACATCAGACAATATTGGGAGGATGCGTTTGAGATATTACCGTGTGAGTTGTTGAATATACAAGCTATTAATTCCGTGCTTTTCTTTCACCTCATTGTTTATCCTCCTCTGTTGATACCCATCTCTACTATGTTTGATGTAATAGCATACACTTCTGGAACATCTCAAGTTGCCAAAGAAATGCAGGAAACACAGCTACAGCAATGGTAACAACTGTAGTAGCAGCACTTGTGCCAGGAAGACCAGCCCCGGCAGACACATGCCAGACATACACAGCTGCAGATGAGCCACTGCTGATCCATGCATTATGCTGGTTCATTTACTTAGTATGTGTTGGGAAGTTGTTCAACAGATGTAGAAAATTCACAGCTTAGTTAAGTGTTCTCCCCTTTTCATTTTTAGCCTTTTCCTGTCTCATGCAGTATATGTTTTCATTAGCCTGTGTCTATGTGTAAATACTATGCCACTGAGGTCCTGTGAAACCACAGTCCACTCATGCTCAGGCAATTTTATCTGACTGATATAATGTCGTAACAGTTTATGCTATATTTTTAAAACATACAGAGGTGCTAAGAGAATATTACAGTTGCAAAAGACAACTCTGCCTATGTGACTAAAATGTATATTAAAGAAGGGGCTAAATCATTACTTTATGTGTTCATTTTTCTCCAATTCCTGCACATTTTTTATGCCATTTGGCAACCAAATTTTCACAACCCTAGCATGATGGTCAGCCCGATTCTTTCTCTTATGCAAATTACTTGGCCACAGGAAGAACATTTAAAACCATGAGAAAATTTCTATTTTCAGGTCCTCTACCCATCATCAGAGGGTCTCCCTTTCCAAGAAAAGGAAGGATCAGGAAAGTTCTGGGGTTTGGAGTATGCAGCGTGCAGTGACATCTTTAGGAAGTTTAGCCACCAAGCTAACAGAAGATGACTAACTGAAGGTGGGCTAATCGATATCGTTAAAGGCTTATAACACTGAAACTTCACACAAAACTTCATCAATAGAGTGAAAAATTATATTGGTCTGAAATTCACATGAACCTGAAAGTACAAGTTTCAGCTGGGTCAACATTTACTGCTAGATAAGTTTTTAAACATGATGATTTTAAGTCCTGCACCTGGGTTGGAGAAATCTCAAGTGCAAATACAGGCCAGGCAGAGGCTGGATTGAGAGAAGCCCTAAGGAGAAAGGCTTGGGGTTGTTGGTTGATGTGAAGCTCAACATGACCCAGCAGTGTGTGCTCACAGCCCAGAAAAACAACAATATCCTGGGCGGCATCAAAAGAAGCACGGCCAGCAGGTTGAGCAAGCTGATTCTCTCCCTTTACTCCACTTTTGTGACACCTGCAGTACTGCATCCAGCTCTGGGGCTCCCAACATAAGAAGGATGTAGACCTGCTTGAGCAAGTCCAGAGGAGAACCAAGAAGATCATCAGAGGGCTGGAACACCTCTCCTACGAAGACAGGCTGAGAGAGTTGGGCTTGTTTATCCTGGAGAAGAGAAGGATCCAGGAAGACCTTATAGCAGCCTTCCAGAATTTACCAGGGCCTACAAGAAAGCTGCCAAAGGACTTCTTACAAGGGCATGTAGGGATAAGACAAGGGGAAATGGCTTTAAGCTAAAAGAGGGTAGATTTACATTAGATATCAGAAAGAAATTCTTCACTGTGAGGGTGGTGAGATAGTGGAACAGTTTGCCCAGAGAAGCTGTGGTTGCCCCATCCCTGGAAGTCTTCAAGGCCAAGTTCGATAGGGCTTTGAGCAACCTGGTCTAGTGGAAGGTATCCCTGCCATTCTATGATTCTGTGATGAGTACTCACTAAAATGGCAAATAAAAAATTATAACCCCTTTAGCCTTAGATCACTTATCTTTAAATGGATTTGAATGGAGGTGAAAGATCTAAGGAAGGATTTGTTGTCACATATACTCCAGAATGGATTCCCTCAAGACTGACTCTGAGGGCTGATGTAACTCATCCAGCCAAGCACACGTTCCCCTGTTCATAGTGTTTGGTACTTTGTTTGCTGTTTAGTATGAGGCTCAAACTGGACTGAATGTCATGAATACACCAAGGCAGCTGATTCTCAAAATAGAAGAGTTCTGAAATTTTATTGCTATTGCCTTAGGAGTTTGTAATGCATAGGTAAGAAGATGCACTATTAAAAACAAAAATGTAATGCTAATAAAGAAACCTTGAGAAGAAAATGGGAAGAAAAGACTAATTGTCCATGCTACTGTGATATGTCCTACCAACCTACCAACCTGTCATTGAGAGTGATTCTGGAGAGTGGATATTCTGAATTCAGTAGATGCATATACAGAAGTACAAAGTCTTTTATTTTCCAGGACTGAGGAGGAGAAGAAAAGGAAAGAGCTAATCAAAGGAGCCCACAAGCATTTCTAAGAAGTTTTCAGGGCATGCAAGCAGTGATTGAGGGTGAAGTACAGTGACCAGTTGGTAAAGGTCTTAGATGTTTTCAATGCAGCTAAGGAAGATCTTGGGTGTGGAGTTTAGTCTTGATTTTCACTACTTTATTTTTGTTCTTTCTTCAGTACCTCTTGTCTTTTACCTAGTACTTTAAACTTTACTTATAAAAGATATAAGGAATATTTTTTTTTGTCTTTACATTTTTCTAATAGTTCATCTGGCTTTGAGCAATCTGAGAATCACTACACTCTTCATGAAATTCTAGATATAGTAACGCTTTTTGTTCTGAGTGCTCCTGCACACCCTATCCCCAAGTTACGGGTCTTCAGGAGTATGAAGACCATGCTTCTACCAAACTTCCAGAGCCCACAGTGAAGTAGTATATACATGCGTAGAAAGTATCTGCCAGCAAGTATTGGCCCATATCTATTTTTGGAAAACAAGGGGAATGCAGAGGGAAACTGAGATCTGTTTAGTCATATGAAAGCTGATTTAAAAAAAAAAAAAAACAAAACCAAAAAAACCCCCCAACCTATATGGTTTTTAAATTTTAGTAGCACTAGTGATATTTTCTTTGGATTATATGATACAGATTCATAGCTCTCTCAGGGCATTCTTTCTAGTTGTTTAGTCCCTTTTCCTGTCACAGTAACATCTATTTTTTGGCCCTAGTTCTGTTCAGATCATCTTTTCATAGTGCCTCCATCCAAGCTGTGAAATCAGTTACAAACCACCCTTTTCTAACATTTCTGTGTGCATGCCTCTTAAACTCTGGATGCACTCTGTTCCCTACTTCCGAACTAGGGTAACTGCCCTACCCTGTACTTGTACTTTGGAACTCATATTAGGTTATAGCATTTCATTTTCTTTGGAGCTTGTGTAGCTGGAGTGCTTTTGGGCAGATTAAAGATTTATGAATTGCCATACAAACTTTCATAGGAAATCAAAATTTTAAGGGTCATGTAAATGTTGTCAAATGTTGTCTGCACATATGGCAAAATATTAATGTCAAATACATTTAAGGAGCCTAAAAGCAAGAAATAGAATAATACTTGAAGATATTTAATTAAGCTATAGCAAAAACAGGCTTGTAATTAATATTTTTGTGGAAAGCTTTACCCAATACTCTTTCTGCTTAGACAATGAGTTAGCTATACTGTCTCTCAGGAAAAAAAGTGAAAAAACTCTATGGTCTTTGACTAGAAAGAACCTTAACTCTCCTAAGCCTTGGGAGTTTCTCTAAATTAGTATCTGATTCATCCCATAACTAGTCTTAATTTAGATTTTATAAATTGAAACCCTATCACAAAAACTCTCTTGAACTATAAAGATCTGAAGAAAGTGGCTCAGGATCAGTAATTACTATAAGAAAGGGAGAAGGGAAAGGTGGTGGTGCTTAAAATTTGGTCAACTCTGTTTACTGAGGAACCTCAGTCTTTCAGGAAAATTACTTTTAATTATTACCTATACTCCTCCTCAAATGATTTAATTTACCTACAAAGTCAGAAAGATCAGGACATCAAATCTAGGCAGGCACTTTCCCTGCATTTAAACTCAGTCTTTCCATCTGGCCCAGTGTGCTTCAGCCTTACTCTGTTGTTTATCGGCACCATCTTTCACTGAGGAGGTGACCCTTTATAAAACATATTTTTCTTAATGTTCTAGAGAATATAAGGATTGCTCTAGAAAACACAAAGATAATTTAATATTCACCATGATAGATTTATTTTGTGACATTTCAGATGACTATTAATTAAATTAAAATTCTTCTTGAATGTTGTAAGGAAAGTGAGAATAAAAGGCACATTATGTGACTGTTGGATATGCTAGTTACACTTCAGGTTGGCAGTGGTTCTGTGAATTACCCCAGGGTCTCTATAGCTCCAGATAGAAAGAGACATTTGTGAGCACTCTTGGTGGCTATTCTCTTTCATACACAGATCTTCCTTTAAAGCCTTATACCTGCTTCACTTACAGACTGGATGTTGCAATGAATGTGGTGATGCATATACTTTATCTGAAAAAAATTAATATTCAGAACAACTGATTTAGGAAGGAGATCCTCT